CCCCCCCGCCCCGCCAAAATAAAAAATAAGAGTGTAGAGAGGAACATTGGAATACTCTTTAGCCAAGAAATATACCTTCTCAAACTTGAATGTATATAGGAATCACGGGGGTGATCGTGGATCTTATTGCAATTCATATTCTAACTCAGAAAGTATGGGTGGAGCCCTTTGCGTTTCTAATAGGGGGCCAAATCATGTCAATTTCGCTGGCCCGTGAACCCGTTTTGAGTAGCAAAGATATAAAGGAACGAGCAAAAGGAAGTCAGATGCTTCATTCCAAAACATATTTTCCAGAGTGTTAATAGAAGTACGGTTCGGATGGAGCCAAGCCGAGAACCTCTTCCCAAGCCGCAAATCTCCCCTTTTCTGCTTCTCCCTTCCTACTCCAGCCAGTCCCCTCCTCCTTTACCCATAAAAACACAAGCAGCGACAGGTCCAATTACGGAAGATTCGAGCCCAGGTAACACAGAAAGAATTGTCCCTGCACTTACTAGTCTAAGAGCCTGGGGATTAGATGGAGTCCGGGCAGTGGCTTCTTCCACGCCATAAAGAAAAATTCAAAATTAAATCCTCTTCACGGAGGGACCAATCGTAGACGTGGCTTCCCCACGATTCGCTTTCCTGGTAGCGTAGGAACACAGCCTGGCTTATGATTGGCTGAGATAGAATTACTCTCCGACCARTCGGGCATGAGGCGCTTTTAGTATGAATAAGGAGAAGGCGGGAGAGGAAAGAGGGTGTGTCGCGTCCCCTATGCTGTCGGTGGAAGCTTCCGTGTAATTGGTTGGTTCTTCTTCTGATTTCACCAATCGAAAGCTCTTCTCTGCTGAGCCCTAATTATGAAATTGAAAGTAGAGAGATAGGGTAGCCAATGGAAAAAAATATATATGCTGCAGCCAATCCTCCTGCGGCGTTTTGTGTCTTTACCCAACAGGAAAATGTGTTTCATATGGAGGGGCGGCACCCAGTTGCCAATGGGCGGGCGCCGGTAAAACAGAGGAGCCAATGAGTGCGAAACATTGAGTGACAGCTGTCCAATAGAGACCSTCAGTGCTAGTACGGCTTGCAGCTTAAGCGCCGCCGCGGTCTGAGGAATGTCAACTATTCAACATGGAGGCGGAGGTCGATAAGCTCGAACTGATGGTGAGTGCAAAGTGAAGGACACCTACTGGGTAATTAATTTTTCCCCAGTGGCCTAGAAGGTGGGGAGCAATGTGGAGTTGCGGGAAACTCTGGGCAGCGGAGGCTGGACCAAATTGGAGTTCCCTCCTCCTGCACCAAAGGGAGCCGCCACCGCCTGGTCTCCCAACCGCCGCGGGCGAAGGGGTACATCCGGGAAATTCGTGAGGGAAATGGCGGGAGATGCTGAGGGTGTGGGGCCTTTGGAATTCCTTGTTTCTTGCTTTACTTTTCTATCCCTAAAGGAGCTGTACCTGATGGAAACAGCGTTTTATGTATTTACACACACACACACACACACACACACACACACACACACACACACACACACGACTGGAAGGGTCTATCAACGCCCCAAGACGGGAGGAGGTCGTTCACACCCCTAGAAAGGGGGATGTGGGGTGAGAAGTAAGCCGGGGCAGGGGGCGCGGGGAGAAACGAACCATTCATGTTTTCGAAGGCGGGCTGAGAAAGTCTGAGAAAGGATGCAAAACGTGCGCTACAACTTCCTAGCGGCCAAGGGAGTCCCCTAGACTCGTTTGTGTTTGGCCCGGAGGATGCAAGCTTTGGGTGAGCGAGCCGTCGGAGCTATGGGGATCTGAACTATAGGCTCGTTTCCTCGAGAGCCGGGGATATTGGAAATGGGAGGGCACCTTGTTCACGAGTTGCCCATTTTCATTCATCTGTGAAAGTAGAGGGCGGGGGCGAAGAACTAGAAAGCACTCCCCTTGTTGCTGTTGTGTGTGGCCTGCTGGAGGGTGCCAAGCTGAAGGGCTACCCTTGTTTTCTTTATGGGGTTAGCCCTTATCCTCTCTTGTCCCCTTAATTCCCTCCCTCCCATCCTTAGTCTACCAGCTTGATAGCCCGCGCTTTTTTCTTGGCTCTGCCTTCACTCTTTATTTTCTTCTTGCATTATCGGTATTTTCAGATTGGGTTGGCTTCTTTAAAAATATGGAACTTTGAGGAAGTACCCATCTTTGAGTTCCTGTTGTTTTTATTTTTTAAAGAAAATAACAAGATCAATTTTTAAAAAGTAAAAAAAAAAAAAAACTTCTTTCTTCTCCAGCTTCAATCTGTTTCTCCTCCTTCCCGCCATTCCCTGGCGTTATWGCTTAGGTATATCTGTGTGCCCACACTGCTCTTTCCAAGATGAATATTAGTTCTTTAACTTCTGCTTTTGTAAGGACCTGTGGTGATCCTGGATGATAGTGTGTACTACCCCCCCCCCATTCCCACCCCAGAAAATGTTAGGCCTTGATTTATCTTATTATTTTCATTTGATTTGTTAAGGAATTGAAGCACTGGCTTTATTTAYATTTAATTGCAAGGCTTTCAATTACTTTAACATTTGTGTCCAAATTTTCTATGTGGAGGGAGTGTGGGTATRGAAACAGAATGGAGGGAGACATGGGAGGGAAGACGAATTTTCTTTCTGCAATTTTCCAAACCTGCAATAATGAATATTTGTTTGGTTTTGTTTTTATTTTTTATTTTTATTGTTTTTTTTTTTTAATACACGAAATGTCAAGGATCGGAGTTTACTTCTATCAACAGGCATAAAAATTAAGACTGTCTTTTCCCACTCCCCCATTTTAAATTCCTGTCTGCAGATTCAGATATTTCTGCTTAGTTGTTATATGCTGCCTGATGCTAATTGTTTTTATATATATGCCCATGCAGCCTATTGGCTGTTTAATTTTTATGCTTTTTCTAGCTTTTGCAATAGCATCAATATTCTTTAATTTTTTTTTTTTTTAGAGAGAGTGAGAGAGACAGACAGAGAGAGAATTTTTTTTTTAATATTTATTTTTYAGTTTTCKGCGGACACAATATCTTTGTATGTGGTGCTGAGGATCGAACCGGGCCGCACGCATGCCAGGCGAGCRCGCTACCTCTTGAGCCACATCCCCAGCCCAGCATCAATATTCTTAAAAGACTACTTCTTCTTCTTCTTTTTTTTTGTTAGAATGAACATATTCTATTTTAAGGGAAAAGCAAGAAACATTTTGGAAAATGGAGGTTTTAGAAAGTTATAAGGCAGCCAACTTTTAAACTTTTAGATGTTTAATTATGAGATAGCTTTTAAACTTCCTTTTGATGAGAGGAAGACTAGAAAGCAGAGTTTCTCCCCCCCCCCCCCGCCCCCTTAAATTTCTTAAAAGTAAATTAGTGGTAGCATTTTTTTCAAGTTATTGGTTTGTTTTCATAATTATTAGGGTGTATGGGCTGGCGTTGTGGCTCAGTGGTAGTGCGCTTGCCTAGCAACCGCGAGGCCCTGGGTTCAATCCTCAGCATCACATAAAAACAAATAAAGGTATTGTGTCTAACTACAACTAAAAAATAAATATTTAAAAAAAATTATTAGGGTTTAAGAATGAATTGGAATTTTTATTATTTTTAATATTCCTATTTTGTATTGACTTGATAGTAAAGGATGGTGCATCTCATCTTCGGATTTGCCATATTCCTTTAAAAAATGTTTTATCTATGAACCAGAATCAGAGTAGTTTCTAAGATTCTAAAGGTAAATGATTTCTGGTACAATCTTCTGGGTTTTTGTTTGTTTGTCTTACATTACTTAAATAAAGAATTGCCAGGGGACCAGTATGGAATATTTAGTAGGTGAAAAGAGAATGCATTGTGTTTAACTTTGAAAAAGTTATCTCAGTTTTGTAAACAGATAGCCTGATCCTCTTAATTTAATATTTTTTCTATTTTTTTGTATTAACTTACAGTTCAGAATACTAAACACTTGTCTTTATAAACACTTGTCTTTAAAACATGACGCTTGATTAACAAGAGTTAAATATTCTCACATTTGAATTTTGTGGCCCAGGATTTGAGGCCAAGACTCTTTATGTTCCCGCTGTCCCAAATTTGAGTCCATTTCTTGGTGGGCTTGATCCACCTAAGTAGCTGAACTGGACCATTTAAAGGAAGGTTGGTGAAAATAAGAGAAAAGTATTTTTGCATCAGTCAACATTACTAAAGGAGGAATAACCTCATTGTAGGGTAATCCGTGTTCTCTAATTATTTTCCCTTTACTTATTGATTGAATGATATTTGTGGAAGGCCCTCCTTTTGTGGTTCTACTAGTGATTGTACACAAAAGTGTAATGTGATACTATGATACTCTTACTAATCCTCACAAACCCCAGAGTCCCTAGGGATTGAAGCTAGGTCCTTTCTACCACTAAGAAGTGACATCTACCTGCCTTGTTATTTTTTGGGGATGGGATGTTGCTAAATTGTCCAGGCTGGCCTGAAATTTGGATCCTTCTCCCTTCTCTTCCTAAGTAGCAGGGATTAGGCATGTGCAACCATGCCCAACTATGATTTCTGTTTCTAAGTTTACATTTGTTTTTTAAGGAAATTTATTGTTTACATCTCAGGCCTCTTTCTCCATTATTTTCATTTTGATATTTTAAAGTTAACAAGAAATGAATTTGCTTTCCTTTTATATTTAAGGTTTATATTTAAAACCTCCTTCCATAAAATTCAATTAGGTTGAGATAATATTGTCATGTTTAGCTCACATTGATTATCTGGCAGTGTCTTTCTTTGTTATCATAGTCCTCAGTAAACTCTTGAAATAAAAAGCTATAATGATAAGTACTTTTATTTTTGGTACTGAGGATTAAACCCAGGGGCACTTTACAACACTGAGTACATCCCCAGTCCTTTTTATTTTTGAGATAGGGTTTCCCTGAGGCTGGCCTCAAACTTGTGATCTTCCTGTCTCAGCGTCAGGGAGTCACTGGAATTACAGGCATGCACTGTCATGCCTTACAAAATGCTTTGTGTGTATGTGTGTGTGTTTTGTGTTATAGTTTTTTTTTGTGTGTGTTTTGTGTTATAGTTTAGAATCCAGAGTAATAGATTGGGTATATAGAGATTTTATACATTTATTATTTTTCGTTTATTTTCTGTAACATTCTTATTCAAAGGGCTTGTTTTATATGGCAGGTAATCAATCAGTCATTTTGCTTTGGAAAAGGAGCTAACCAACAAACTGTCTCATCAGAGACCAGGAAACTTTATCACAACTGTGACTTAGTACTTCTAATTGGTTTTGTTAATACCAATTTTGAGGTATTACTAATATACTTGTTAATTACTACCAAGACTCAAGATATTTTAAAAATTCCTTTACATCTCTGCATGTTTCTATTCGAATGTTAATGGTTGATTAGTCATCAAAAACCAATATCACATTGATATAAATGTCTTTATGTTTTGATGTCTTCTGACCAAAGTGGCAATCCAACTTCAAATTCTTTTCACACTGAAGCTTCAACTCAAGATTCGTTTATGTTCCTTTCCTACTTATTACTGCTTACGAATGCTCTGACTTTATTGCACTACTGTACTTGACAGCTAGCAGTGCAATAGTATTGTCAAAGCATCTGAAAGCAGAGTGCTCTTCAGAATTTTCATTCTTGCCTTACTTCTTTCTTCAGTGTTTATAAATAATTGACTACAAACTTTGTTGCTAAAAACTGTATAATTATTATAAACAAGAAGTATATCTTTTTAGAAAATCATAATTTGATAAAAACTTTTTACCTAATATTAAAAACTCACTACTACACTGCATAATGAAACACATTGAGAAAACACTTCTTATATCTAAACTTGTTATGGCTTGTCTAAATGAGTGTACTTTGTAATTTGCTTCTTTCTTTAATAGATTTGGGTAGGTTTGGACAAATCTTAGTTTTTATTTAATTGAGTTTTATCACTAATTAGTAAGAGATGAAAACAATCTCTGCTGTATATTTACTGTGGTAACTTGCCTCAGGTCTTAATGTTGATTTTGTATTATGTAGGAAATGCTTAGATTTAAAATTTAAAAATGCTTGAATTAAAGTTCATTTTTGTGTTGATGAGATAAAAACTGTGAATTCATCACTTTTTATAGTGAATTTTATTGAGATACAATTTACACAGAATAAAACTCACCA